TTCACGGGATTGTAGAACGGGATGTTTACAGATGGGCCGCTGGTGGTCATTGTGGATTGCGTTACGAGATACATAACTGCCCGAGTTTTATTTTTATACCAAGTACACTCTGTGCATTGAAGTTGAGCATACAATGTATAAGCTCGCGAAGAGTGACTTATCAGCGAAAGTGAGACTTGGCAGTTTTAAAAGAGCGACGATACGTACACGGTACCGAGAACCGATTTTTGCTTTTCCGAGTATAAGACTTCATTTTTCGTTTTTTCTGGTGCATGAGTTTGGAAAAATAGTGACATTTTAAGGGCAATGATCGGTTAAAAACTCATCACGAATGATTTAATAAAAAAAAAAAAAAAGCTCGGGTGGGGATAAACGCTGTTGGCAGAAACACGAGCCGATCAACTTAACGATCTTTCCTTCGATCTATCGTAGTTTTTTTTGTTCTTGCACGCAGCTTCTGGGACGATGAGGTTTTTTTACGAAGCCGAAACTAGCAGACAAACTCCAGTAGTGATACTTGTAGGTAAACCTTCCCTAACTTAGTAAAGTAAAGGGGTACCTGATGTCTCAGTTTTATGGGTATACCCCAAGTAGAATTTGTTACTTGACGGTGCCGGTGCTGCAATTTGTTTGCTGGTTTCCGCTTCATGGTTTTGTTTTGTCATTTATAACTTTCAATCGATGGCAATAATAATTATTTCTGTATGGCACGAAAATGTATTCCATAAAGAAGATTTGCAGAGGGTTGATGTTTTAATTGAGTCACTTTGAAGCGTAATACACTTACTTTATCAGAATCAAGACGCGAAGAAAAAAAGCGCCTTACAGGCGCCTCTCGGCTGGCGTCTCGCGCGCACAATTATCGTCCAATTAGCAGAGGCTCGCCATGCCGTGGGGTTTACATCCAAAACCGGATTGCGCTATGTGCAGATAATCACGCGATCTCTACGGTAGCCGACTCTGTGTTACTCTTCGTTACAAACGAAGCCGGTGGACGCATCATCGCATCATTTCGTGTATTCAAAACAGTCAGGTATTTTCGCCCAATCAGCACGAGGTGATCGATTGACTGTGGAGCAATGGTCATCCGTGTGAGTATGAAATAAAGCTTTTCAACTTTAAGATGATAAACCATCGGACTTCCAACAGCTCCAAATCTACCAACGCGAACGAAAAAACAATAACATCACAGTGCGGCAAATACAAGTCAACCGATCGATCTATGCAGTTTGCCGGCGCGTCTCACATAATTTGGTGCCGATTTTTGCGGTGTATACATATACATATATATATATATAGGTAATTTTAATCCTCCCCTCGCCTCTTCGTATAGGTATAAAAGACTCGCGTCCCGTCCGTTAGATCCCCGTGTGCAGGACCTACCTCCCTGGTATATACGGTGAGCGAGGCCCCGTTTGTTGATCCGCCGACTCTTCGCATCGGTAGTACTTGCAGGATATTATATGGAGGAGCGTGTAATTGTCTCGCGCCAGCGGAGCCGAGCGCGTTATTGTGTCAGCGATGTTTTGCGCGAGAGAGAGAGACCAGAGATGCAGCTTACGTCGTTACATATAGTACCTATACTCCCGTAACTTTTCATCTTCTATAGCTCTCGTCTCTTTTTATTGTTGTTGCCGGCGCTTCGTTGCCCCCCTTGTATATTACCTGTGTACACTTATTTTTTTTTAGCTATACACGATTCGATCGACGAGTGCAATGCGAGGTCTTTTATGTGGAAAAAAAAAAATGCGCGCGTTGCACATGTTAAATAGCCGAACGAAAGCGAGAAACGACAAGGCAGTACGTGGAGTAAGTAAGTATACAGTTGTAGGATTTTTGAATTATTAGAAAAGTATAAATAGATACATGCGAGACTGTTGTCAAGTATATACACGCGTACTCCCTGAGAAAATTAATATCTCGAGCGAGGGAGCAATGGAAGAGCGTTTGCAATGTATACGCGCGTGTGTGCATGTACATAAGAGCCGGATCGAATTACTGTGACCTATGCGCTCTCTCTGTAACTGTATGTAGCAAACGAAAAAAAAAGAAAGAAAGAAATACATGTCCGTGGGTTCCCACGAGAATTAAATGATCGGCATTAGGCTTCATTAATTTTAATTCAATCGCGTGGCTCTATGACCGCGCAGTGCAGTGCACACATACAGTGTTGACAGTAGCTGATGGAAAGGAAGTTCTTGTCATTTTGCTTGAAAAGTTTGTATACTACCCATCGGATGCCCATTGCTTTTTCTTTGAAACCGAGGGACGATGTGGCAATCGGCGGTTGTTTGGACCAATACCAACCATATACGAACAATATAAGTGTTTACATTAGTCGTTAACGCTGATCTTCCTGATTATTATCCCCTGAATATTCAAGAGGTAGCGATTTTCCTTTCTTTTTTCCTCCACCGGTTTCCAGGAGGCTCGTTGCGTTCAAACTATCCATCTTTCTCACAAATCTCACGTACCCATTACATATACACGCGATTTGCGAAAAAAAATAAAATAAAATAAACTGTCAACAAAAGTCTAAACATCCCAATCAATAGCCCTGCAGCAGCTGTTGCTCGTGCCCTCCGCGTATATGGAGACGGAGCAGATCTTATGCGACTCCGCCGCACAACTCGTACGGACGCCAAATTACCTTTGCATATTATATTGATCATTCGCGCGCTTCAAGGTATAATATATATATATACATGTGCCCAACGAGCGGAACAATGGCGCGCCCGGAAGAGCGGATAATGGGTAAGTAATGCGCGCGAGATCGACGTATGTACTTGCGGCTCTTAAGCGAGTGTCGTTGTTGTTTTTTTTTTTTTTTTTTTTTTTTTGTCTGGCGGACGTATGGGGGCACGCGTGTAAGCGACGCGCTCGTAAATTCGCGCGAACGACCGGCAGGGAAGCCTCCACAGGTGGGATGCGACGACCCTCATTGGCTTTTTGTCCCGCCGATGTCTAGCTGTCGTTTCTACACTCGCGCTGCGGCTTTTCCCCGAGTCCTTTTTCTCTTTTGATTCCCGGAACAATACCGGAGATGGAAAAAAACAAAAAAAAAACAAAAATAAAAACAAAAACAAAAAAAACTAATAGGTTACAGGTACAATAATGATAGCTTTTTAATAAGCACCGAAGCCTGGTCAGGGCAATTGGAGACCCACGGTTTACACAGCGTCGATGAAAAGATATAATTGTTTCTAATTGGGCGAGAGAGGAGGGTAAGGGTACTCGTGTGTGTGTGTGTGTATCCCGAGGTATTAGAAATTGCAGCGATTCACGCGGCAGATACGCGCTTTTATGGCCGGGCACGTGAAATTTGATACACAGAATGCAGAAGGAGGTGGTGGCTCTCGGGGAAAGAAAAATGGCTCGAGATCGCGGGAGTGCGATTACGAGCTGCTGAATTCCTCTATCGACGTGTTTCATCTGGTTTCCAAAGTTCGGAGAGCCACTTTCACCCGATCCGGATTGTAACGCTCCATCGGCCGGGAGTTTGTGTACTTTTGATCCCTCGAACACCTGCGCTATACAAACATTTTTCTGGAAAAAACAAAAACGTACACCCATAATTATTTGTTTAACAATAATGTTTGCAACGTTTAAACGTGAACCGTCAATAACACGATGAGGAAGAAAAAAATAAAGGGAGCAACGTCACGGAAGCTTCACAAGATAAGAAAACGAGATCGTCTTTTCCGAGGATCGCGTCGTTTTATTCCTAGCACGGCGTAAATCTCTCAGCTGTTGCACGCATACACCTGCAGGTATACATACACGTATTGGTCCGCCGAGAATTTATTTCCGATGCTCCGGCTAATGAGGAGACGCAACACGTGTGCAGCGGCGTAATGTACTCCATAATATACCCGTCTGAACGTGTGTTGCAAGCACACGCGCTTCGAATCTTGGGGTATACACCTATTTTGCATCTACACTATCTGCGGTTGCGGCTGAGTGTATAATTATTATACACACACGTGTGGCAAAAATTCATTTCATGAAGATGTTGCCGTAGGTGGCAGCAACGTGTTACTTTCAGTTTTCAATGCTTAATTGCTGTATCTTTGAATAGAAAATTGTGTGGTGTTAAGTTTTTCTCAATACAGTGACCAAAGGGCTGGACACAACGGCATTGGCTGTATAAACGAAATTTAAACTGCAATATCCGTCCGACCGCAAAGATCGGGTGGTAGAGAGGCGATCGCAGTCGACGACTGAGGTTCGAGTCTTACTTCGATACGTGAGTGAACTACGGTGATGGCACCCACAATATGTCAAAACGCTCTCTTAAAAATGTACCAAGTATGATGGTCCCACTTTTTTTGTTTTTTTGACATAACGAAATTTCATGTAAAATAATACCTTAACTAAATAGATGGCTTCAAGTTGTTTTTTTTTTTTATTTATTTTTTTTTTTTTTCATAAAAACTCTTTTTGCGTACCCAATCGCGTCTATTTGCCTTCATGCGACAATGTCATGCCTGCTTTAATTCTTGGTAAAAAAAAAAAAAACAAAACAAAAAGTAATTAAAAAACAATGGACGAGAAAAGACACTCGCCTCAGCTCGGCGTCCCAGAAATATTTTCCCTCCGGCGCAATGACAAATTCACATAGCGCAGGCTTTACGGAAGGCCACGGCTGGGCGAGGCTCCGAAAATAAACCCCCTGTCGCCTTAATTAACACACCACTACTATACCTATGTCCAAACATACAGCCGGTTGTGCCTGCATTGCACATCAGCGACCTCCACTCGTCTCGTCTCGTCTCATCAATTACTATCCCCCCCTTGCGATCTATTTGTCAGATTGGGCACTCTTTGTTCAAGCGAGGAAATTAAACTTTTTCCCGCTTCCGCGTCCCACCTATTCGTCCCGGAAAAGTTGCACTTACCTTGCACGCACATAATAAGTGCAGTGAGATATCAAAGCTCGAAAAAGAAAAAAAAAGAAAAAGCTAACAAAGTAAAGGATCAAAAGGGCGTGCATCGCTTACCGGTACGTTGTGTATCCCGAGTCGCACCTTGGAGTACTTTTTCATAAAGACCCGCCAAATGACGTAGGCCATGCTGCCGCCCTCCGCCAAACCCAAGGAGCGTCTTCTCCTCGTCAACTGGCGCTCGGACCGACCTCTCCCATCGTTCTCCTCCTCCTCATCCTCTTTGCTTCTTTTTTCGCGATCGACGATGATTTTTTTCCTCACCCTCGCCCCCACGTCGGACGGCTTTTCTCTCCTCCGCGTCAACTGTAGCTATGCAGGAGGGCACTCGTGCGGTATGTACTACAACTCCGGGAGTACAGTGGCTTCCTGTTCTCTATGGGCTATGTGTGAGCGTCGATTACAAAAAGCGCGGGAGACGCCGCTAAGCCGATCTCCCCCTGCTGCTGGTGCTGCGTTTTGGAGAAAAAAAAAAGAAGATTAGGTTTCGAGATGATTAAAGTTGCTGCTTGTTTGCTTAGTCGTGCGGAAATTTCAATGTGCACTTGTTGGATTGGAAAGTTGTGCTTTTTGCCCGATCCGATAACGTTTTTTTGTATCTACTTGACGCGATACTATATATACACGACGATACCGAGTTCGGTGCATTTCAAAAGTACTTTTGATACGTTTATACAGCATGATATGTAACCGTGGCATTTCCCGAGAACCACGTGTAGAGCGATTTTTTCTGACGCGAACCCCGTTGGAATTAATTTTTTAGGGCAAATAGCTTTTAAATAGGAGCCGATTAAAAATACGTTCCAAACTACCCCTGAATGGGGTTGGAAGGCTATAGCACGCCCGCATGAACTCGCGACGTTGCAACATTGTTATTGGAGCTTAGTCGGTAAGCAGTGAGAACTATATCCATGTGCGCACGCAAGAGCGTCAGCTACTGCTGGTAACTTGAAGGTTGGATGTAAAAATTTTTACCTTGAGGTAAATATTGTCTGCTCCTTAAGTTGTCAGTTGTTTATCCACGCGCTTACTGTCTTTCTCACTCTCATGTTGGACAAAAACATCTTTAAATTTTTATACTTAAGTAATGTTACCTCGAATGAAAGTAAAATACCATATCAGTAGGGATTTTTCCACTCTACACGATCGTATTTTTGCAAAAATAGTCGAGCTCTCGGTCAAAAATATTGTTAGGTATGTCTTGCTTATGTTCCCGGGTATGTCGTCTGTACACGATTTAGAACGAGTCCATTCATAAATTGCAATAATCAAGTACCCACCAAGTGCCCGGGAAGTACCCGCCAAGTGCCCAGGAAGTACCCGGCAAGTGCCCGCCAAGTACCCGGGAAGTACCCGCCAAGTACCCGAGGAAGTGCCCGGGAAGTACCCGAGGAAGTGCCCGGCAAGTACCCGACAGTATTGTACTTGGTGGGTACTTCCCGGGTACTTGGTGGGTACTTCCTTGGCACTTGACGGGTACTTCCCAGGCACTTCCCGGGCTTTTCCTCGGGTTCTTGGCGGGCACTTGGCGGGTACTTCTCGGGTACTTCCCGGGCACTTCCTCGGGTACTTGGCGGGTACTTCCCGGGTACTTGGCGGGCACTTGCCGGGTACTTCCTGGGCACTTGGCGGGTACTTCCCGGGCACTTGGCGGGTACTTGATTATTGCAAATTTATGAATGGACTCGTTCTAAATCGTGTACAGACGACATACCCGGGAACATAAGCAAGACATACCTAACAATATTTTTGACCGAGAGCTCGACTATTTTTGCAAAAATACGATCGTGTAGAGTGGAAAAATCCCTACTGATATGGTATTTTACTTTCATTCGAGGTAACATTACTTAAGTATAAAAATTTAAAGATGTTTTTGTCCAACATGAGAGTGAGAAAGACAGTAAGCGCGTGGATAAACAACTGACAACTTAAGGAGCAGACAATATTTACCTCAAGGTAAAAATTTTTACATCCAACCTTCAAGTTACCAGCAGTAGCTGACGCTCTTGCGTGCGCACATGGATATAGTTCTCACTGCTTACCGACTAAGCTCCAATAACAATGTTGCAACGTCGCGAGTTCATGCGGGCGCGCTATAGCCTTCCAACCCCATTTAGGGGTAGTTTGGAACGTATTTTCAATCGGCTCCTATTTAAAAGCTATTTGCCCTAAAAAATTAATTCCAACGGGGTTCGCGTCAGAAAAAATCGCTCTACACGTGGTTCTCGGGAAATGCCACCGTTACATATACTACGTCGTCGTGTTGTGTGTATTATTGTTGGAAGGGGGAAAAAAAAACAACATGGAAAAACAAACGTGTCGTAAAAGTGCATGTCGCAGTGGTATTGAAATAAGCCTTTCTTTGAAACACAATACTCCCTGCCGTTTTATAAAAAATAAACCCAAAAGAACCATGTTCTGGTAACTGTACTGTGCGCCTAAGCAGAGCACAAATCGTTTCTCGCGTTTGTTTTTTCGTCTTCTGTACTTCGGGTCCCCTCTGTTGAGACTACAGTTCGAAATATGTATTTTTACGTCTTATTTCGTACTTCGACTGGTACGTCCCTTTCTTCGTGCGTTTCTTGGGTGCTGCAGATATTAACACGATTCGAAAGGGAAGACAGCTCGGATCGAGTGATCCGAAAGGGTTCGATCTTTCGGGACTTTTTCTTTTTTTACTGCCAGGAAATTAAAATAAATAAGCATCCACAAGAAACTTTTGTTGATATTCGGTTGTTGAGCAAACATATATAGGTTTAAAGCAGCGATCTTACTTGTGATGCATGTGTGTACATACAGGATGACATCAATCAGACAACGTCTTATCCGCAACATCTTTGAAAAAGTAATTTTCCACGCGACCAGTCAACGCGAGAAAAGGTGCATAAAAGATCTTTTTTTTTTTTTTTTTTTTTTTTTTCATAAACTCCTTTCTCATTTGCATGTGAATAAAAGTCTCTCGTCGGCGCAGACGGAGATGGAAAATTGTATAACTTGACGGTAATTCTTAAGCGGACCGATACCAATTTTGTCAGTGGACGAGCGATAACGTTATTATTGTTGATATTCAACTCCTTCGCGTCTCAATGATGGATCAATATTACGTTATTCGCGAACTTGATTAAACCTACCTCTCATTAATATCGTGCGAGGTAAAAAAAAATTGTACTGTACTTATAAGAGTGACGAGAAAGAAAACGTTACGCAATGGTAAATCCGCGCAGTACCTAACACTGTACATGTATAGCGGGCGCTTGGACGGATTTCAGCGATGATCGCGGCATTTTTCATTGTGTATAGGTGTAGTATAATAGACATCGCTGAGTGACCCGAGCTACTATTACAAATAATATCATATAGATTTGTAATATGTAATACCGTGCGGTTGACAGAACAATGAGCATGTGTTTGATGGGAGGCAATAACGATAGGGAGTATTGTTCTTTCGACTTAGTACTGTGTTATAATCGATATAAAGAGAGAAATGAGCAATTAAATGGTCGATCAAATTACATTTTGTTGCCAAGATATTTTTTATCACGGTTTATCATCGGTCCATCGTTTGTACGAAATTGCAGTTACTTTTTAATTTGATCATTGCTGGTTACTTGCTATGAAAGTCATGATAATTTTATATAAAGTCTAGAGTGATAAGAATTTTGTAAAATAAAAAATACAATCGATATAAATGCGGTTTTCTGTAACTTTAATAAAGAGGACGAGAAAAAATTATAAAGAATTATAGTAGCAAAATATTGAATTGATAAAATTTAAAATTTGGCAGAGTTATTATCACAATAGCAAGAAAAAAGAAGCTGCAATGTGATAGATCTTTCGACAAAGAACGGGAATAGAAGCGCGCGCGCGAGAGAGCCTTTTTTCATTTTCAATACATTTCCGGTTACAGTTTGCCACTGAGAGATTCTTTCTCTCTCGCCTGCACACGTGGCATTAGAACAACTGGATGCTGGACGTTCAAGGCCAGAGTGTGGGTACCTACCTACTATAGGCACGTAGAGAGATCAAGATCGAAATTTCCATTTCGTCTGTGGAGGACAAAGGAGCGAAGAATGGCTTTTTTGCAACTTTTGTCAAAGCGGGACTCTTAGTTTTCCCGTAACGATTTCACATACTTGGGAATGGTATCTCTGGGTGCCTGTTTTCGTTCTTTACTTGCGCGCTCGTCCGATGATAATGCACACATAGGCTGGAAAAAAAAAGGAAAAAAGAATATTGTCACCGATTATTGTGTAAGTATGCTTTTTAAAACGAACGCACGCAAAGAAATATTTTACGTAACGACTTTGCAAGAGCCATTGTGTGGATTTTTTTTTTTTTTTTTTTATAATAAAAGAGGAAAAAAAAACAATTACCTGAATGCGACACAATTATGTGGTGGTGTACTAGTGTACACATATTCAAGTTACGGAACGTTCCGAGAATTTTATTTCCAAACATTTTTAGACGTACGATTCTCTTGTGTACTAAACAAAAAAAAGCGTGGAATCAACAACAATGTCGAGCTCAAACATGCAACACATACCTGATCAGAAATCTAATCTAAAAGTGCACTGTTGTTGCGTGCATGTGCAGCCTGATTAAACTTCCCATCGGGTGTTTTGCTTGGACAGCAATGAATTTGAGAAAAGTATCGAAAACTCACCAATTGGGCATGTTTCCCGGCAGTTGATACACAAGTGAACACGTATACGTTCTCCGGTTCACGCTGACTCCGTTCCACACAGTCTTTTAAACCGCTCAAATGAACAAACGACTCCAATTCGAACGTCAGCAGTTCAAATGCACCGGAAGCGAGGTCGAAATTAAATCGTATTCACAAGCGCATGCGTTAACTATTTACATGTACTGTTATGTATGCAGATCATAGGATTCGCGCGTAATTAACAACAAACACAATTAATAATTGACCTATCCAACACTCGAGGGGTCGACAACTTTTCGTGTTACTAACTAACCTCTCGTCAACACTTGTTTTTCACTCAAACAACCACTTGCGATTAGTAATGTTTTCAATCGATACTGATACTTTGCGTGGGTACAACTAACGAGTTTTTGAACATGTACTTGCAGAGATGCGCGTTAACGTCAAAAATATCACGTCTGAAATGATTAAACGAACGACTCTCTACAGGTCTACGTCATTTCATTCGTAACGACACCGACACTTATCACAAATTCACAACTTCACAATCTTCACATCACACGAAAGATCCTTGAGATATGAAAAATGTTTAAATAATTGCACAAGTATATACAAGTACATGTATAACGTTATACTTAAAGTTTCATATTTACACCTATCGCGAGCGAGCGAAGAGCTCAACGTGACTGCCGGGAAATAACTGACGGAGGAGCTGCCGCTCGTGCGCGCCGCCCGCCACTGACTTCACCATATAATAATATATACATGTATATACCCAACGTAATCCAGGCACGTTCTGCACGCAACGTCGCGGCTGCTGCAAGTGCCGTAGTTATACCGCTCTGTATGTATACCTGTATACACTATGATCTATTAAACTTCGCGCTATCCACTTCTTCTTTTCGCCTTCGCGTCTCGCGCCGAATGGAGAGAAAGAGCGTGCAAAAGCGCTATACCCATATATATATGAATACATGGTCCATCGACTTGTACACTTGTGTGCGAGCGAATCCGCAAAAAAATGCCAATTAGAGGACTTCCCCTTGTAGTTTGAAACGATGATGATTCTTTTCAGGTACACATTTTCCAAACAGGAATTTTCTCTATGCTGGAACATTGAAAAGAAACTACTTAGCTTGACTTTCGAATTCTGCGAGTTTTTCAAACTTGGTGAATTCCGCAACCGAAAACGAAAAGAGGGTTCGCGAGAGAAAAATGGCGGAGAGCACGATTTTCGCTGAGAGACAAAGACAAGAAAACTTTAATGATTTTATTTGCGATATTATCAAATAGCGTGGTCGAGACCACATTAGATATATAGGTTTGACTAACCCTAATTTGAGTTGGTGCTTTCGTTGAAGGCAATTTTGAGTCTGCGTTTTCTTTGAAGGGGGCGTCGATAAAAGCTTCGTTCTTTAGGTGTATGTACATGCCTCAATAAAGAAACAAAAAAAAAACGTTACTTACCTATATCGAATTTTCCGCAGACCCATCCGTGTAAGCAATGAGCGACCTGTTGGTCTTCTCTCCTATATGTGTAATAGGTACATCTGAGCGTGAGTGTATGGAGGCTTGTATAGGTACGAGTGAACGAAAGTGAGAAAAAGAGACGAAGAAATGAAGATTCCTCTTGCCTCCTCCTCTGCCACCTTCAACTAACTTCTCCTCCACACTTCCTTCCTCGCTACATAATATATGTGTGGTGGCACTCCCACATGCAGACAGACGGTCTATACACAGAACTGTGTGTACATATGTATAGGGGTGCATTAAATTTGTACTCGTATGTTTTTTATGGTTTTATGAGGTGCATTATTACACTACACTAGGCCATTTCTATTTTTGTTTGTTCTATAAAGAGGAGAGGGCTTTGTTTCACGCGAATTTTGTCGGTACTTACACTACATAATTGAACTATACCTATGTATGTGTATACACTTACTAGTAGAAAATAAAAAAAATAAAAAGTGTGTAAATGAGTCATGGGGTCACCTGCTTTTTTTTCGACTTTTACTTACATTATGTTGTATACCTACTAAATACGCCTGCGATGCGTAAGTATAACAGGAGAGGTTCCAATGAAAGTGATAACTTGCGAATCATCTATGCAATTTGATCTAGAGTGGCGAAACTGTTTTATGTGATGATGGTAATATTGTTGTTTCATTGTCACCTTCTTTCATGGCTATTTTTAAAGTTGAGTTTATTTTATTTCTTTATTCATACACCAACTGCGTACATATTACTTTACGGATACATAAAAATTTGAATTTTCAAAGAGAGCTCTTATGGTAATGTTGGACGAAATCGTTCGAGGCCAGCAGCAATAAAAGACTATTTACTATATACTTTGACTCTTTTTTCTTGTGGAGAAATGCCATTTTTTTAAGGGTAACAGTTCAAAATTCCACGTCCCTTCATCCAACGCAAAAACGAATTTTTTTAAATACAAAGGAATCGTGCACATTAATTATTGTAAAATCTGTTCGTGGAAGGTTCCGTGAGTCAAATGAATATTTTTTTCATTTCTACTTTTGGAAAAAAGGCGCAAAGAAAAAGCAAAACGTTTTATATTTTGAGTCATAAAATCCGTACTTTTTCAAACGTTTTCCATTCATTTTAAATTGCAAAAAAAGATGCTGTACATTTAAGACTTTCAGATGGTATAATATGGTAAAAAAGTTGTAAATATCACTATACATAAAAAGTTTTTACAAGCTTTTGGTTTAACACGTAAAAAAAGTAAATTTATCCACCCTTTTTTAAACCCAGACTTGATGGAATATCGCTGTTTTCGTCAACTTACACGAAAATGAAAAACTATTATACTTCGCTTCATCTATCAATGATGTACCAAATATACCGATTGCATGGGAAATTGTGAAAAAATCCTCCAGGACAATTTGTACATAAATAACAGTAAGTAAAAAAAACAAAAACAAAAAATAACACGACTCCACCCAAAGTACCGGCCGGTGCACTACCCCTGTCTATTAATGTGTCTTCATTCCCTTGGCTGCGTGTGAATATACCTTTCAAATATTCTATGAAATCGAATATAGCCTATAAAAATAGCGGCAAACGCAAAAACGTGCGTGTGTAGAGGAAAAAAAAAAAAAAAAAACCGTGACGTGCGCTTATCACGAAATGTTCTCCCTTGCACGAAGAAAAGGTAGGGCCGACTGGAGCAATACAGGCATTATCTTTGTCTAAGCTCTAATTATCTTTCATGGACATGTTTTTTTTTTTTTTTTTTTTTCTCCAAAGTTAATGGCCTTTTTCAATAAATCAGGAAATTTTCAAACAATTTGGAACCAAAATATATTAGCACCACTGACAACAATTTTAGCCTAGAATGGACGCCAGTGAAATGTAGCTTGAACATATTAAGAAAAAAAAAAAATTCTTTGATGTCCCACCCAATAACCCCTTCTTGTTTTAAATAACAAAATATCCCCAAAATCTTCTCCGCAGTTAAGTACACATCATCCCGTGCTCCAAAACACGCATCTCATTTGATTATTAACGATTAACAAAAAAACGTACGCGAAAACACAATAAAAAAATCCCTGCTCGATAAGTACAGCGTTGGGTTATAATGATAAACATACATCCTTACGACACTATTTTCACTATTCGAAGGTCACGCAATCATTTCGTAAGGAAAAATATTATAATATGAGCACATTGTACCCTGCACCTACAACCGGGTTTGTCTACTCCGTCATATCTTGCGTTTGTTTGTGCTCACAAGAGATGTTTGACAATCGCTCAAGTATACCTACATATACATCTTATACGCTTGTAATATGTATTACGATGAATTTAAGGATCAGAACTTTACGACAGTATTTTTTATGACATATACAAACCAGAGTACATCCATATAAACGCCTGGTGGCTAATTGCCAAATGATTCAAAATTAATATCCATCAGAGCTATCTGGGAAAAAAAAAAAAAAAACAAAAAACAAAACAGCAATAACAAGCTAACATTGTATATGGCAAACAGAAGCACGTTCTCGCACTCGATAGCATCGCTAAAAATATTAGCTCAATAAACAATGTTACGTAACGCCGATTCTTCTGCACAATGTATGGGCACGTATACCTATATATGTATATACATATATGTAAACGATGCACAAACCTCACCCTCTTTTATACGCGTAAGTATTATAGTTGTGTAGGTGTGCAATAAGTTACACCTCGACATTCTCTCTAACATGGAGTTATACCGATGCAAAAAGGGACCAACGATAAGAAAAACGAGCTCCTCTATGTATAAATGCGCACTTCCTGTATTCTGCACCCTCTTAAATTCTTTCGCTCATGATACTCTGCCCGCACACACACACACACACACACACACAAGACATTTGTTTTTCCCAATAAGTAGATAATTTACAAAAGAAAAAGAAAAAGAAATGGACGTACAGAGATAGGGAGTAGGAAGCGGAAAAACGATCGGCACGCGGCGTCTTATCGATCGTACATCGAGGGGACAAAGAACGGGGGGGGGGGGGGGGTTACGCGACGATTTTTCCCTCACCCGCCTGTACAGGTATACGCACTTATCGGATCACTTTAATCTCTCGCGGCGAAGCGTCAAGGAATAGTGGGGGGGAGGAGGAGGGAAGAGAAAATATACACGTACATATTCGCGATCGCGTTCGGTATAGTATATCGTCGGGTATCTTCGTGGCGGACGACGGCTTATCCTCCCGTTCTCTATTTTTTATTTTTTTTAATTTTGCCGTTTCTTCCCTCAGTCGTTAATATATTATCCCTTTGGTCGCTTGGTGGTGTGAGGATCCGCCGGATCGGAAGCTCGGGAGTTTGGAGGAGGAAGCCATCGTGTATAGTATACATCGCGGTGACAATTGAATCGGTATTGTCGTTTGCGCGTGCGTATATTATAGATTCGTGGTGTAACGCGTGTGTATATAGGAATCGGCAAATATGAGTGACGCGCGTACATCGTGTCTTCGATCCAGCCGACGTTGACACGTGCAAATATACACGAGTCTTCGTTTTGAGTGCTGGATTACTCCGATGAGACGTCCACGCGGATGACGGACCCGTAAGATAACAGCACTCGTTCTCGTATATCTTGCATTGTTGTTGCAGGCGTGTTCGATCAACGTCTTTTGTGTTTTTTAATTTTATTTTTCATCTTCGAAACAAGAAGAAAAGTAAAAGAAAAAAAAAAAGAACAAAATATAAAACAACGATAGTTGAGCTGATAAGTGCGTATCTACGTTGGGTAGGCACATAATTATACACATATACGTACGTGCGCTCAACTGAATTTAGACGTTACACTATAACACTGCCGTACGTATACGTACAAAAAACACTGCAACTGCACGAGCTGATAAGAGCAACGGTCTTGTTTACCGATTCTCTTCACCGTTGGGGCGTCGTATGTATATATATATATTTTTTATTCTTTCTCTACGTTTGAAAACTCATCCTCGAGCACTTCCTCGGATCCTCGCAGCTGTACAAGCCGGCGGGCAATAGCATCCCGGGAGGAGCAGCGCGATGCGAGCCGCGCGCGTCCGAGATCGGTAACGCGATCTTACCCCGCAACGGATCGCCATGAGCGACACGAGGGGTCTGACGGATCCGAAGGTCATTGCCGAGGACGGCTGTTCGAGCGCCGGTACCGGAGGCGTCTCGGCACTGCTGGCGTCCTGTGTCACGGGTGTCCTTGAGGCCGTGCGCTGCAACAAGACCGCCAACGAGTGTACTGCGCCCGGCAGTTGGGGCGTCGTTAACAAACCGCTCCCCTTTGTCGACAAGGTATACTTGGGTGCTTTTTTGTCACAATGTACATATACATATAAAATATATAGTGTGTATGCAGATAAAGAAATTACTGTCCGGACGAGTCGATTTTTTTTTGTTTTAACTTTTCGACGCGCGACAATCGAAGAAATCGTGTAGATTGTATACGCGGCGATTGAAGATTTGTCTGTTTATCTGTACGTGCGTGACCGCGTGGAGATATCGTTAAAGTGTGATCGAATTCGTAAGCGTCGCAAGGCAAAGAAAAAATAAAATAAGTGTAGGTGTCAAATGAACGAGGAATACGCGAGATCGGACGAAATCTATCGCGATCGGCAGCTTCGCGCGTCTCATGAGTCGAGGGAGTTTGTGGAGCCTGTGAGTTGGAGGTTATATAAACAATATTACGCGATGACTTTTGCTCACCGATACGTCATTTTTAATCGTTGCATCGCTACTACGTATCGTCGTAATTGATGAATTTTTTTTTTTTTTTTTTTTCTCAGGAAAATGAACCGGTCGAGGTTGACTTTGATTGGCTGGCGTCCAGCGTCCCTTCACGGGATGTCAAGGTTAGTACAATTTTCATGAATAATTTTATAGCCACGATAGCTTGTATAGTCAGCCGAGTGTTGATCGCGTTACGTGTGTGTGAGGGGTTGTACTGAGAAATACAACAAACTAATGCTTCAATTATATGGACTTTGAAAAAAAAAAGAATCAAATTATAATACTCCAAATGATTGGTACTAGACTTTTTTTTTTTAACGTTCCTCATTTTACATTTTCAATAACATGCCGTTAGAAGACGAATAGCAAAATACCCGCTAATCCGTTAATGAAGGCCTTGTTCTTCTCACACGCGATAAACTTTTAAACTTGGGGAGAAAAAAAAACCCAACCAGAGTAAAAAAAAAAAAAAACAAAAACTTACAACTGGAATGTATTATGGTAAAAAAGAATACACGTAATCCAATTGACCCGCGCCTTATCATCACCAGTTATAACGTACAAAAAAAAAAAAAAAAAAAAAAAAAAAAAATCTGCGAGCTTATCTCGTTCTGCGCCACCGAGCCATTGTATTACCTCGCAATGGAGTAAACAGTAACGACGACGATTGTCCCCAGCAGGTGCTACTGGTGTTCCCGAGGGCCGACGACCAACAGTCGGAAATAATCGGGCGCGTGGCCCGAAAGTTGGGCTGGAGCGTCGCGGAGGCCCGGAACGCGGAAGAAGCCGGCGAGCTCGCCAACGCCCGACCCTGCGATCTGGCGATCGTCGACCGCAGAAACGCCCAACGGAGCCAAGAGGCCGACGATACTTGCAGGTCACCGTTGTTTAACTGACTTTTGGGTATTTACATGAAAAGGACTCATCCACTGGAAATCAAAAAAGTCTGAATCCTCGAGATTATTTACACACGCGTATCTAACAATTTACGAGTCAGCGCGGACAATGACTTGACCTTACGCGAGCGTGTACTGCTATCAGACGTATTTGCTATATACGTATTGTACATACGCGCATACCTACATTGTCCTTATCGTTTCTCTAAATTTGCTGCTTGTTTAACCCATCGAATACAAGGAAGAAGTGGCGGGAGTTGGGAGGGGGGAGGGGAACCCCCTGAATATATGCATCGCGGACGCATTGTTGGGGCGCTCCGTATCGTACACACAAATAGCCAATAATAGCGGGATTTATTATCTCAATTTGGATCGCGTTTTCTTTTTTCCGCTTGTTTGCCAAAATATTTATAGACCTCACTCCCCTCCCCCCTCTGGAAATGCTTTCTTATCCATAGTGACCCCCCTCTTGTTTCTCATTTTCCTGCAGGATTCTCGTCGATACGAGCAATTCGAGCGTCTTCGTCGTGGCTCTCGTGAAAAAGTCGTAAGTCGTACATACGCGTATACATATACAGCGAGGCGTGTCTAACTGTGTCGTTTTCTTCTTTTTTTTTTTTTTTTTTTTTTTTTTTTCATAAACTCCTTTCTCATTTGCATGTGAATAAAAGTCTCTCGTCGGCGCAGACGGAGATGGAAAATTGTATAACTTGACGGTAATTCTTAAGCGGACCGATACCAATTTTGTCAGTGGACGAGCGATAACGTTATTATTGTTGATATTCAACTCCTTCGCGTCTCAATGATGGATCAATATTACGTTATTCGCGAACTTGATTAAACCTACCTCTCATTAATATCGTGCGAGGTAAAAAAAAATTGTACTGTACTTATAAGAGTGACGAGAAAGAAAACGTTACGCAATGGTAAATCCGCGCAGTACCTAACACTGTACATGTATAGCGGGCGCTTGGACGGATTTCAGCGATGATCGCGGCATTTTTCATTGTGTATAGGTGTAGTATAATAGACATCGCTGAGTGACCCGAGCTACTATTACAAATAATATCATATAGATTTGTAATATGTAATACCGTGCGGTTGACAGAACAATGAGCATGTGTTTGATGGGAGGCAATAACGATAGGGAGTATTGTTCTTTCGACTTAGTACTGTGTTATAATCGATATAAAGAGAGAAATGAGCAATTAAATGGTCGATCAAATTACATTTTGTTGCCAAGATATTTTTTATCACGGTTTATCATCGGTCCATCGTTTGTACGAAATTGCAGTTACTTTTTAATTTGATCATTGCTGGTTACTTGCTATGAAAGTCATGATAATTTTATATAAAGTCTAGAGTGATAAGAATTTTGTAAAATAAAAAATACAATCGATATAAATGCGGTTTTCTGTAACTTTAATAAAGAGGACGAGAAAAAATTATAAAGAATTATAGTAGCAAAATATTGAATTGATAAAATTTAAAATTTGGCAGAGTTATTATCACAATAGCAAGAAAAAAGAAGCTGCAATGTGATAGATCTTTCGACAAAGAACGGGAATAGAAGCGCGCGCGCGAGAGAGCCTTTTTTCATTTTCAATACATTTCCGGTTACAGTTTGCCACTGAGAGATTCTTTCTCTCTCGCCTGCACACGTGGCATTAGAACAACTGGATGCTGGACGTTCAAGGCCAGAGTGTGGGTACCTACCTACTATAGGCACGTAGAGAGATCAAGATCGAAATTTCCATTTCGTCTGTGGAGGACAAAGGAGCGAAGAATGGCTTTTTTGCAACTTTTGTCAAAGCGGGACTCTTAGTTTTCCCGTAACGATTTCACATACTTGGGAATGGTATCTCTGGGTGCCTGTTTTCGTTCTTTACTTGCGCGCTCGTCCGATGATAATGCACACATAGGCTGGAAAAAAAAAGGAAAAAAGAATATTGTCACCGATTATTGTGTAAGTATGCTTTTTAAAACGAACGCACGCAAAGAAATATTTTACGTAACGACTTTGCAAGAGCCATTGTGTGGATTTTTTTTTTTTTTTTTTTTTTTTTTTTTTTTTTTTTTTTTTT